TAAAAGGATTGCCATTTCTGGAAATGTTTAATGGTTTGTTGACTGGGACTGAATGCTTTAAAGATTTTATTTGAAGAGGAACTGTGGGAGTACATTCAAATAGAAAGGGAGATATAAATATAAAAAGGGAGAATTCAAATTGGATTTAGTAGATATAGTTTGTACTTTATATTATTTTTTATAACCCTTAATGGATTTTTACTGATTAATATGGCCAGCTAAAGTTTTAGAGATTGGTTAAATAGAATGGAGTGAAGAATGGGATGAAATGTTGCTTGGTTTAACTTTCAGAGATAGGGATAAGTTGTTAAGACTGATTATACTTGCTGGTGAGGAAGGGAGTTTTTCTCTTTTAACAATTTTTCTTTTAAGTGTTTTATACTCTCTAGATCAGGGGTGTCAAACTCGATTTCATTGAGGGCCACATCAGGGTTGTGCTTGACTTCAGAGGGTTGAGTGGACGTGGCCATGCTGGAGACCATGGAGGCCAAAAGCGAGCTGCAGGGCGGTGCACACAGTCCTCTCCCCCCACCGTGGCCCATTTTGGCCAGCAGAGGCCCCAGAGGCCAGTCCTTTGATATTTCCAGGCAGTCCCTGAGGGGCAGATTTAAGTACCCTGCACCCCGCAGGCCTTGAGTTTGGCACCCCTGCTCTAGATAGTGTTACTTTTATCTGTATAATATCCAATACATTATTAAAATGGTCAGCAAACCTTGGTCCTTCCTCATGGATCAGGAGGGATGGACAATGAAATGTGGAAGAAAGCTCACTCCTGGAAGCACCCTGAGAAATTCAGAGAGAAAATTTTTGTTGTCTTTTTTTTATTTTTTTATTTTTATTACACAGACAATGGGAAAGGGAGAAGATGGAAAAAAGGGGGGAAGGGGAAACCCATCTTCACATACAATGTCGTTTGATCACAGGTGCATCCCTACTAAGTTTGTACATCCCGTATCTCTCTGTTGTATATTTAATAAACACCCCAATAAGCTAGGGTTTAAAAAACAAAAAAACCAAAATAAAACAAGAAAAAAAAGGGTGGGGGGAGGAGGGGGAGGCCAAAAAGGACAAAAAAAGGTCCAAAAAGGAACAGCCTTTAGCAGGTGGCTCTGCCCAAACCAAGGCATCCACGTTCCCCCTGCAGAAACCAGCAGTGTTTGAAAGGTGGGGGGAATAGAGAGCTGAGTGGGGTCTTTGGGGGATGCTGGAGAGGGCAGGGAAGGGGGGAAAAGTGCTGAGAAGATGGCACTTCTGGCTCTATTATTCCATTAACTCTGATGGTGTGCTGGTTACAGGTTCTCTGCCCTGAGCAATCTCATGGGAGCAGAGGCAGGACGACACAGGAAAGAGGGGGGGAAAGAGGGGGGGAGGGAGGGAGAGAGAGAGAGACCACATCTCATCTGTTTAGACATGGCAAAACATTTTAAAGACTCCTCAATCCATTTCTCCAGGGGGATTCTGGGAAAATTGGCATTTTGCTCATTATTGTCCGCTATCTTGCTTGAGAAGAAGAGCTATGGTGGAGAGAAATCACCAACTTTTATCCTGGGGGTCTCAGGGACTTGGGCAGCCCAGGAGAAACCAGGTTTGATCCTGGAGGGAATCAAGGCTCAGGCATGGAGGTCCCAGGGCTGCACTGGGTGGGGAGGTGGATTGAACTGGCCCCCCGTCCCTCCCAGCCGGATGTTCTGCAGTTTGGCGATTTTGAACTGGGGAGTTGCAAAAATGCATCCAGAGGAAACGGGGGTAAATCGTTTTCATGTGATTGCTAAAAACACGACCAAGTTCTAACTCCACTTGAGGGAGATTTTGCCCTGACCTTTTAATGGGGGGAGGAGGAGAGAGGTTTGAAGTTTGAAGAAAAATGCTTTCCCTCATGCGAGTCCTTGTACACTGTAAATTTATTGAACTATTATTACATTTTTTACTGTTAATCATCCAATCCCTTGTATCCAAACTCTTCTTCAGGAAAGGAAATTATTTCCAAAACATAAAAATATAAATTCTGCATATTAAAAGTGCATACAAATAAATAAAAGGCATTGACACACTCTCATGCACTTGCTCCGAAATAAGTTAAAACCCCTTCTGGGAAGGAGACACAGCCTCCCCCCCAGCAGATTGTAGAGATTTAAAAAAAAGACGGAAACTCTGATCACGTATCAAAGTCAGCAGCGGGCAAAGGGAGGGAAGCATGCGGCTCCTCACGCGCAACTCGGGTCTCCACGGTTGACTCGTTGGGTTGAGCATCTAGCTTTAGCCAAAGGTGAGCTGGGTCTCCACGGCGCTGGATTCTCTGGCTGCCCCTTCTGGAGACGGTAGAATCTGAGGCGGCCGGCCGGCTGAGCTCAGAAATGCTTCTGGGGCCCTGAGGAATTTCCACAACTTCCACGTGTGGCAAACTCCCTTCTTCTCCTCTAAGTCTCTCAATTTTGGCTCTCGGGTCAGCGTGTTTTTCCCCCCCAGTGAAGAAAAACCTTCACGTCAACTCACCAAAGATTAAAACTAAACCCTGGTTGCTTGTGCGGTTATGTTGGACCCATCGGCAGATTAACCGGAAACGAGCAAAGAAAGATTTCCCCACAAAGGTCATTCCAGCTGGAATTCCCAAGCGCAAAGGCCTTCACACACCCCCACCTCCGAGGGGTTTCCGGAATGGCTAAGCAGAAGGCACTGAACCAGTCAGACCAGGCCTGTCCTGGGGGCCCAGGGGTCCTGCCTGGTGCCCTTTCTAGGGCCCCCCTAAGCGACTCTGCAGGCCGTAGCCCAACAGCCAACTCCCCCTGGCCAGGACAAAGTTCTGCCTTCCTGGGCCGTGGGGAGGTGGCTGGCATTCCCAGGACCTGCCAGGGGCTGACAATGTTCATGAAGCCAAGCGACGAAACGTGGGTGGGGAGGGGTAAAAGCTGCATAGCTTCTCTTGCTTAGAAGGACAAATGTAGCTGACAATAAGAAAAACTGCCTGCCTTCTTTGAAGTACTTCACAGCTAAGTTTTATATCCACAGACGTCAACCAAGGGTCACAGAAGGGAAGCTTTGGGGGGTCTACCAAAGCAAGGAACAAAGGCTGTGGGCTCCTCAGATGCATCCCATGCAGCTCAGACAAAGACCCCCTCCATCCCAAATTCCTGCAACACAACCCAGGATGCCTGAGCTGCAGCCTCCAGACGGCACTCCAGCATCCTGAGGTGACACGGTCCACAGCGAGGGAAGGTGCTGCAACTTAGAAACACCAGGAGGGAAACGGGGAGCCTATCCTTGCCGGTAGTGTATTCTACTGTAGCTTGCAAGAGCTGTTTGCATACTTAATACGGGCATGCATAGGGAACAGCTGAGCGGCACCATGCAAATTGGACTTCAGTAGGAGGAAGAAAGTAACTGGCCATGCTCAGCATTCCAGATGTGATTGCCAAGCACAGAATTAAGTCACTCCTGGAGCGTGGAGGTTCCCTGTCCTTCTCTGAGCTGATCTGAGCCTCATCTGTGTGTAAAGACACGGACTTAAAGCACGGGCTGCAAAGTTAGTTGCAAAGGCTTCGTGTGGCGTATTGAGGACAAGTAATGTGAAGTGTTCAAGGTGTACCTCTTCTAACAGAGCAAGGTACAAATTAACACCAACCTAATCAGAAAAAAGAAAAGGAAAGAAAAGAAAAGAAAGAAAAGGAAGAAGAAGAAAGCTTTCTGGGATGAGGAATTGGACTCTTCTGTACTAGAAGGATGACCACACAAGAAATATGCCCGCCGAGGATGGACGTGATTCCCATCCTCTTTGAAGGATGCCAGAATTAGTTACTACCAATCCCCACCCCCACCCAACCCAACCCCAAGAACTCAAGAAGCTTCCTAGATAGGATATTGCGGCGTCACACAATCAACACAACACCTCGATTCTTAGGCTAACTTGTTCAGATGCTGCATGAGCCCTAGATGGCAACGTTGGCAACAGAAGCAAATGGGCCTTCCTCCTCTCAATGGAAGGAGGTCCATGGGACAAGGGAGAACCAAGAGGAGCCCCCACCAGAGGAGGCTCCAAACAGTGTCCAGAGAGAGCTTTAGAAGGGCTGCTCCCAGCAAGCGGCTCTTACTCCACAAAGAAGACAGTCTGAATAGAGGAGAAAGACCTCAAGGGTCAAGTGGACACCCACCGGCTCTCCTCCTCCTTCTTGCATGAACTGCTGGTACAGCAAATTCACAGACGCACGCATGCGCGCGCACACACACACACATACACCCCTATTGTGCCTCACATAGACAAGAGAGCAGCCTGCAACTCTCTGCCCCCACCCAGGAGCCAGCTGCTCTTCTTCAAACCGAAGCATCGAAGTTCATCCTCCTTCCAACAGAAGCAAATTTCTCCAACCGGTGCTTCCCCAGTGGGACAAGACTGTGATTGCCAAAAGGCCACAGCAGGGGGGGGCGAGGAATTTTGGGAATTTGATCCCAATGGTTTTGGATGGAGCTAGCGGAAGAAGTTTGTTCCAAAGGGGTAAAGCCCTACAGAGTAGGAGAAGCTTCCTGGAAGTTCCTTTGTGAACTTCCCGTGAAGGAAGGGAGCTCCCTTTTGCTTTCCAGGGGCACCTGAACACTCTAGTCCAAGACTGGGGAGGGGGCAACAGCCTCCTTCTAGAGCTGCCAGGGCAAAGAAGACCGAGTCCCTGCAGAGCAGCCAAAGAGGAGCTTAGGGGGTCAACCACAGAGGGAGGGGCTGAGTTCATCTGGAGGCAGCAAGAAAACCTCTGCCCAGGGAGGAGGCACACCTGCCACCCAGAGGACGAGAGGAGGATCTAAGGCATCCTTCCTTTCTGCACGCCCGTACCCAGCCAGCGGACATGGAGGATGTTTGGGAGCAGCTGAGCAAGAAAGAAAAGGCGGCTGTCAGAGGGCCAGAGCACCCAGGACTGCCTGGGAAACAGGAGGAAAAACGTGGGGAGGGAGGCACAGTCCTGGTTCCACTGGGGGGGGGGGCTGGAGCAAGACGGGGGTCTTGGGCTGAAATGCCACCCAGAGAAGAAGCAAGAACACAAATAGCCTGGTCCAGTTGGGTCCCCCAAAGCAGAGCGCCCCTCCCGCCAGAAGCCGGCCATTAAAACAGCAACACCCCTCCCCCCAACAGAAACCTTTCAGAATGAAAAGAATGTGAAGACAGAGGGAGAGAAAGAGAGACAGAGAGAGAGAGAGAGAGAAGGCACCTTTCTCAGAGTCTTCGGTTCCTCCTACTTCTGGCTGAGCATTTACCTGAGAAATAATGTGAGCGCTGAGATATTGCCCTTGGGGAAGCTTGCAACAGGGGGAGACAAGGAGGGAGGGCAGCACAGCCGGACCAGGGGACCACTTGTGCCCCGGGTTCCCTCCTGGGCCTTCTCAGCTCACAGAGCTGGGCACCACCTGCCCTGGCTGGCCCCAGGACGGCACGCCTGGCGAGACCTCCCGGCTTGCAGTTGTGCCAGGAGGAGGGCTCCATGGACGGGCTGGGGGGGGTCCCTGGGCAGCCCTGCAAATGCCCACCGTGACTGGCACAGTGGGCACAACCGGGAGGGGCCTGAGTAACGAGGTTCGCCCATCCACAGGAAACGAGGAGGAGGCCACCCCTCCAGGCAGCCGAGTAGAGGCGGATCACGGCGACACAGAAGATGTGCGGGTGGAGGAGGAGACCCCCGGGGGGAGTCTGGGCAGAGCCTTGTTGATGGCCGGCCTGCCCCCTCCCGGGGACTTGGGGCTGCCCTCGGGCTGGGAAGACTGGGATTTGCAAGCGGTAAGCAGGGAGCGTTTGCTGGGCATGAGGGGGTCTTTGGCAGCCACGCTGGCATTGGGGAGTGCTGCCTTCTCCGGAGGCTTCTCCTCCGAGAGGGTCTTCCCAGCAGCCTTGCAGGAGCCTCCCCCCGCCTTTTTGGCCAGCAGGCTGGTCTTGCCCAGGTCAGCTGACCGGCGGGTCTCCTTCTGGCGCAGGGCGGACTTGAAGAAGGACAAGCCTTTCTCCTCTGACTTGCTGTCCCTCTTCAGGCTGGAGCGGGGGCCGGGGCCGGGCGAGCGCAGGCTGGCCAGGGAGGTGCTGCGCACGTGCTTGCTCTCAGGCACCCTGCCCTCCCCACGTGCCTGGCCCAGCCGGGGAGAGTTTGTGCGTGGGCTAGCGGCCCCGCTCTTCTCCGAGCTCATGCTCAGCTTAGAGCCCTCCCTGCTGAGGCCGCGCTCCGAAGTCCTGCTCTTGCCCGAGGGGGGGTGTCCCCGCACAGAGCCCCCCGAGGAGCTCCTTCTGGCTGCTGCCGAGGACGGCGAGGAAACCGGCCGGTGCTTCGGCTGGGAGGAGGTGGCAGAGGTGGCCTCGGGGCCCTTCACGGCAGCATCTTTCTTGCCTGGCCTGGCTGCGGGGGAAGCAGGGTGCCCACTGGCCCTGCCTGAATCCAGCTTGTTCCGGGAACGGGAGGCCTTCGGCAAGGCTTTGGAGGAAGGGGGGGATGCGACTGGCCGGTGAGCCGTCAGGGAATCCTGGCTGGACAAGACTGCCCGCTCGGACTTCAAGCCGCTGCCTTGCCCAAGGCTGTCTTGGGAGGGAGGGGCCTGAAGGGGGCTGCCACCGTCCGGCTTGGCCAGACAGCCAAAATTCTGAGCGTCCTTGACCGGAGAGCTTTCCACAGAGTCGCTCTGGTCCACGAAGGCGATCTGGTTGTTGTTGTCAAAGGGGCCCAGAGGAGGGCCGTTTCTGTCCGCCTGCGTATCTGCCTTGCCGGCGGCTTTCCACGCTGGGGCATCTTCTCTGAAGACCCCTTCCATGACTGCCAGCGGGGCCCTGCCGAGTGTCAGAGAGTCCTGCTGTCCACGGTGGCTGCCTCCACCTACCCTGGGCTCCAGGGGGCTGCCGGACAGACTCCGCCGGCTACCAAAGCAGGAAGTGGCCACGCGGTCATCGGCCGACTCTCCGATTCTCTCCAGGGTGGAAGAGGAGCCGTGGACAGGAGAAGCCGAGTTGGAGCGCATCTGCAACTTGGCAGAGAGGGACCACGATGGGCGAATCCCATTTTCATTGGTGGCCAAAGGGCTGGTCACGGAGGATCTGGAAGACAGGTTCTGGCGCTGGACGCTCCTCACGAAGGGCCGGGTAGAAAACCCTCCTGCGAGGCACAAAGACAGGAGTCACCACGTCACTTTGGCCTCCCCCATGCAGGGAGCCAGGCGCCTCCTCGTCCTCCTGGACCCCTGCAGTGGTACGGTTCCCACGCAGAGGGCGGAGCAGCAGGGGCAAGAGGCTCGCACCCGAGTGCTGGGAAGGAAGCCAGTCCCCAAGACCCCCCTCATCCCTCCCGCATACGCACCGTCATCCTCACTCCGCTCCCCCATCAGCTCCACCGACTCCGAGAGGGAAGCCAAGGAGGTGCGCCTGGAGGAGGCCGCTGAGGTCACGCTGGGCGGTTTGCTGCCCGGTAGCCGACTCACCCAGTGCTCACACAAGGAGGAGCTGGTGGAACCTGCCAGAAGGAAAGGCAGCCTGTCAGGCAGGGGGCAGCTCGAGGGGCCACAGTTCAAGAGACAGCACCTTGCTCTGGAGTCAGCATAGGGTCCTACTGGGACCACTGACTCAAGCAGCCGATGGGCAGCTCTTCTTGCGGGGTCACTCGGTTGGTTGGGAATGGTGGGTCAGGTGGGAGAGCCAAGGGCTGAGGCCTGGCGGAGAACCAGAAGGAAGGCTTCTGACCATCAGACCCGCAAGGAAGACTGGGAAGAGCGGCCGCAGCTCTTACCTGCCACGGAACTGTTGGCTGACCAGGCGGGAATGGCCGTCCGCCTCTGGTAGAAGAGGATGTAGGCCGTGGGCTTGCACACCTCGTTCTCGGCCAGCTGCTGGACCTCACTGTCATCAAAGCAGTACCAGAGGCCGTCCACAGAGTTCTTGCAGTAGGCTGCAGGAGAGGCTGCGTCAGGGACAGCCGGACTCCAAAAGGCAAGGTGGCGGCCTGCCCCAGCCCACCAACCCAAGGGGGAGGAAAGGAGCCGAGGAGCTCCCCCCAGTGGGAGGGCCCTTGGGAGGCTCTGCTGGGAATCCAAGGGATCCAAGCACAGATCGAGCTGGGGGAGGGGGGGCAGGCCTCCCAGGGGAAGATCCACCCATGATGCTGAAGGGCTGCAGCAGCTCAGTCACCTGTGTAATGCCCCCCCTGCATCGTGCCATGGTGGTTGCACACTGCATACAGGTCGTAGATGAAGTCCTCGGGGTCTCTACCCAGACCGTAGGGGCGCCTCCAGGGGGACCAGTGGGAGGGCAGGCTCCAGCTGCTCTGGCTTCGCTTGACCACGTGAGGGGTCATGTCAAGGCCAGTCAGGGGGAACCGGACCATGTTCTGCAGCTTCATCCGCCGGTCTCCTTCCTGGTGAAGAGGGAGAAGCGGGGAGGCATCACCAGCCGGCTGTGCACGAGGCAGAACCGGCAGAAGCCCACCAATTGGCCCTGGCCACAGAGGAGGCCCCAGGAAGCCCTCTCTCTCACCTGTCGGAAGCGCTTCAAGTGAATGATCAGCACGTCAGGCAGCGTCCAGAGGCTCAGGCTGATGCTTCCTTGCTGCAGCTGCTTGCAGTGGGGGCAGCGCCAGGCATCATCGGGGGCCAGCTGGAAGTGTGGGTGGAGGGGGTCAGAGGCACAGCTCTGGCCCTTCCTCCAAGCAAGGCAGAGCGAGCAGAGCACAGCTGTGGCCAGTTAGGAGGCAGAGAGCAGCCCCAGTCCCTCCCTCCAGCCCTGCCCTCTCTCTCCCAGCCCTTCAGAAGAGGGAGAGGGGTGCAGTAAGAAACAGGTGGTTCTCCTCCCACCTCCCCCCCCACTTTTTCCAGGCTGCAAAGCTCAGATTATTTCCCGTAGCAAATAAGAGAAAGCCTTGGGGGAGGCTCTGTGCCCCCTAACTCCAAACGGAGAGCGCTGTGTCCTTCCCTTCAGCCGGGGGGGGGGGGATGAGGGGGGGATGACCCCCGAGGCCACTGACCTGCTCTTCTTTGGTGTAGAGCTGGAAACACTGGGCTAAGGTGCAGGACTGAGGCTGCTGGTGCAGCGCCCTCTGCTGGCGGACGCTCTCGGCATCCGGGATGTACTCCTCCTCGGTGTTGATGAACAAGCTGCAACACGCAGAGGGAAGGGGGCATTTGGTCTCCTGTGTGTTTCTGTGGCTGCCCAGCTGAAAAGAGCGACACTCCGGGCAGCAGAGAGAAAGGAAAATGGCCCATGCCAGCCAGCCAGCCCGAAAGAATCCATCAGGATGGGATTCTCTCCAATGGGCGGCTCTGGCCGGGAATGAGACGGCTCTCGGCTGCCTTTGCAAGGCCCGCAGGATCAGGGCCAATGGGGCATCGTGGGTGTGTGTGTGGGTGTGTGTGTGTAGATTGGTCCAAAGGAAAGGGGCCGCCCCTTGGGTTCACGGACGCCTCTGAGCATCTTCTGGAAAGCTGGCTGATGCCTCCCAGACACGCCACTCGCCTTGCTGCCTCTGCCAGCAGCCACCCTGGGGAGCATGGGAAGCCCTGCAGAGCAGTCCTGATCTGGGCCCCTTGATTGGAGTCTGCAGTAAGCCCCCTCCCAAGAGCCCGGCTCTTCCTTACTAGTCTTTCGTCTCCTTGTCCCATTCGACCACCAACTTCACGTGGGGGGTCCCGCCTGTCCCAGAAGACTTCAAGGTTCTGCAAAGGGAAGAGAATCTAAGAGAAGAGTCGCCCTGCCCCCTCAGGACCAGCCCCTCCTCACGGGACTAGAGGTCAGGGGCCCTTTGGAGAAGCACCTGGGCTCCAGGCTGTTGGCGCCCCAGAGACCCTGCTCCTCCAAAGATGGGGGATGGGTGAAGCCCTCAGCAGCCCCCTCCCCCCCCCGCAGCCACGAGAGCCACGTTCTGCATGGCTCCACGTGGGGAAGGAGCAGCTCCTTGGGCCTAGGCAAGAGCTCCGCCCCGCTCACCGTTCCACCATCAGGTGGCAGAGAGGCCGCTCCTCCTGAGGCAAGAGGTACGTGATGCCCACAGCACTGACCACTCGCAAGCTGAACGGACACACCTGCGTGGGAGGGGAGGAGAGGGCGGGCTGCTCAGAGGACAGGCAGAGACACAGTGACCATCCCTGGGCACACGCCCCAAAGTTCAGCCAGAAGACTGAATCCAGAATCCTCCCAAAAATACAGGCAGTTCTCAACTTACCACCGGTTAAAGTTACCACAGAAGCCCCAAAAAGCAACTCACAACCGGTTTCGGAGTTCCAACAAATGAGAACGGACACACACACACACACACATCGCAGTCACATGACTGCATTTTGGGCCTGAATTTATGGCCGATGGCAACCTTCTGCAGTCATACGACCAGCCCTCCCAATGCTTTTGCCAGAAACCACCATTTTCTTCTAGGTCCCAGCAAAAATTGCCAGGCTTGATTGCAGTGGCAAGTTGAGGATCCCCTGCACACACCTTCCAATGTTTTGCAATTTCACTGTGTGATCAACCTTCTTTCCTTCAGGGGCCTCTACGTGACTTGTAAGCAGTGAGCAAGAAGGACAGACATCTCAGCCTCCCCACCATTGTGGTTTCTAACAATGTCTTACATAATCTCCCCCAAACATTTTGCTCTTTTGCATTTTGATTGGCACAACTTATCATGATTGTTGGTGAGAAAATAGGAGGGAGGGAATGAGCGAGGAGGGAGGGAGGGAGGGAGGGAAGGAGGGAAGGAAGGAAGGAAGGAAGAAAGGAAGGAAGGAAGGAAGGAAGGAATTTTAATAATGCCAACTAAAACTGCAAACACTCATGTTGTGTTCAGCAATGGCCACAAGACCAGCTCTCCCTCCTTGCTCGAGGCACAAGGGCCAAAGGGAGGATGCCCCATACCTGAATGCACGCTGAGGGGCGCAGGAAATACTGCATCTTCTCCAAGATCTCCTTCTGCAGAAGGTCCCAAGGGATGGTCTTCTCCAAATGCAGCACAAAGGGCTGGCCAAACCTGAGAAAGGAGCAGAACGAAGAGCTGGTTATAGAGACCCCCTGCGCAATCCGGGGAGCCTCCTGGTTCCTGCCAGGGAAGCCTGGAGGGCCTCCGCACACTTTCAGGTTGCGCGCCAATTGTACCTATTCCTGGGAGGCTCTGGGCACAGTCACTCATGGACCTGTGAGCTTCTGACCGGATTACTGCAACCCGTCGTATATATGAACCAGTTGCCAGGCATCTGGATTTTGATCAAGGGACCGTGGAGATGCGGAAATGGTTGTAAGTGTTAAAAATAGTCAGAAGTCATTTTCAGTGCCAGAGTAAGTTTGAATTGTCAGCAAAGGAAGGACTACCGTGTAATATCTCTTGGTTTCTGTTTTTAATTTCTTTTTTGTGTGTGTTGTTTTAACTATTTAAATGTTTTTATGATTGTTCACAACCCAGAGTCACTGGTTGAGATGAAAGGCTATTCAAAGGGAATGAATGAATGAATACATTTTTATAAAGCATCTTTAGCAGTGGAAAGCTGTGGTCCCCCTGCCCCTCACCTCCAAGCAAATCCTAAGGCCCTGGTCACAGATCTTCAGCCTCCCAGGATGAAATGGGCCTCCTGCCCACTCCCACCCCACTCCCTGCCAGAACCTTTGGCAGCAAAAGGCTGCTTGTAAATCATGAGTCATAAAATGGGTCTTCACATGACACACACCCCACCTCCCCACACACGATTGTATGACCTTTTGCAGTGGTTGATAAACAAACCCGTTGATCTCTATGGGGTATTTTTTGCCAGAAGCCAGAAGTAAATGCAAATTTTTGGAAAAAGTGTTGTAAATCAGTCACATGGCTTGAGGGATGGCCATAAATTTGGGCCAGTTGCCAAAAATGCAGCCATGTGATCGAGGAAGGGAGGAAGGCATCAAAACTCTGACACCAGGTGGGGGTCCATTATAACTATGAATGGTTGCTAAGAAACCAGTCGTAAGTCAAGGACTACCTGTCCATCCTGGTTCAACTCCTCTGAATATGGGCTGGTGTGGCAATGTACCTTTTAAAAGTGTCACCCAGCGTTCTGACCTCGGCTTCCCCAGAAAGCAGGAGGCAGAGTCCAAGCCTGACAAAACCCCTTTTATTAACCGAAGGTGAATTCCTCTCCTTCACATTCCGCAAGGCCTGGCAAAGAGTCTTTCAAAGGAATATTTATGACTACAGACCTTATCTATCTTGGAAAGCTGCCAAGGAAAGTGCAAGGAAAGACTGGGCACAGACTCTCTGAGATTCACAGACAGATCTTCACACTCCTGAAATGAATTTAACGAATGAACGGTTTCCTGCAAAAGCCCCCTCCCCTTTCGCTCCTCTTTTATTTCCTATGGGAGGGGCCATTCACCTTCTACCTGTGACTTTACTCCCAAGTCGACCCTGATTTCTGAGTTGTTCTTTCCTTCTGGCAGCTCTGCGCATGTGCACACTGGAAACAGGCTCCAACAATTCCTCTGCCCCACAGCTGTCTAGCTCCTTGGCCTTGTCCCTGTCTCTGCCTCCAACACAGGGCCCTCGTCAGAGCCTTCCCAGACTCCAGGACTGGCCCATGCTCCTCCCCAACCTCCTCACTGTCCGATTCTGCTGCCAGCTCCACTGGTGGGCCACAACACCCAGAACCCAATGTACAACTCCTCCTCACCCCAATCCATTTTGATATTCTATTAACACAACTCGACTTTTGAAGCCGCATTTCCGGAGCCCCAATGGGTGGCACTTGGTTAATCGAAGGGCTCCGGCATGTGCCAATCCTGCTGGATAGGACTGGCCAGGCAGGGACTGTCAGCGATGAGGCCCTGTGCCACCTTCAACAGATTCAGGCCAAGGCAAAGAAGAAAGTGCCAGGTGAGAGCCAGGCCCCCAGGCTCACCTCTTTCCCTGCTGCCCACTGCAGGCTCTGTTACACACCAAGATGACCAGCTTATTGCTCGGGGCAGCCGCTGCCGCCATTGTCTGGGCACTGCCGCTCTCCAGCCTCACCTGGGCATAAGTGGGAGACCTGGCATGGTCGAGGCTGTGTTTCAAGTGGTTCAGATTGCTGTTGGCATGGATTCCTGGAAGAGAGCAAGGAGAGTTTCAGCCAAGATGCCCAGAGCGGAAGGCCCGGCTCTGTTCCCCAAATCCGGACTGTACAGAAAAGGCTTAAGGGATGGGATCGGAGGCCAAGACTCAACCTTCTCTGGAACAGTCTGGAGATCCAAGGGCAAACCACAGGGCAAAGCAGGGGGGCCCACCCAGACCTCCCACCCAGCGAAGGGCTTGCCTGGAGGGCCCAGACCCACAGATGTTCCCACAAGTCAACTTACCTCTCTGGCTGAGGATCCCCTCTGGCCAGAAGGTCTCAGGGGTCTCAAAGGCAAAGATGCAGTCGCTCTCTTGCACCGTGTCCAGGTCGTCCAAGTCAGAGAAAGAGCGGTGGAAGCCATCGTAATACATCTCCGTGAGCACAATCTGCAGGAGCCCAGAGGACAGCCCTGTCTCTCTCACAACCTGGCCCAGCCGAGCAGCCCAGCTCAGCCACGCCTCCCCCGGCCACTCCCTTCCTCTAAGCAGAGCTGCCAAGACTCCGCGCTTGGGTTAGATCGGCCTGACCAAATGCCCAGTCAGTCCAGCCGCTCAGGGAAGACCAAAAGCCACGCGACCTCGTGCACTATTGCGCCCTCCGTTTTGGAGATGGATGTGGTGCTTATTCTAAGAATTTGTCTGTTGGCACAGTAATTAAAATGCAGTACCCTGCAGGCTGACTCTGCTGACTGCCAGCAGTTCGATCCTGAGTGGCTCCAGGTTGACTCAGCCTTCCATCCTTCTGAGGCTGGTAAAATGAGGACCCAAATGGTGGATGGCAATATGCAAATAATGCTTCTTCACTGTAAACCACCCACTGTGGCATACAAGTGTATTGTTATTGCTGTTGTCTCAAACCATAATTAAGCCAGCATTGTTGGTGGTCATGGACTATCTTGGATGGCTCGACCTAAAGGCATCATGAACAGGGCCACCTAATTTCCATTCCTTTCCTAGGGAGACCAGGAACAGCTGGCTTCCCCCCTCCTGAGCAGGCGGCAAGGAACAGAGGCAGCCTTCAGCATCTGCTCACCCTGGGAGGCTCAACAGACAGGAGAGAGCAGTCTGGCTGGGAGGGAGAACCACCCAAATAGCCCCCCCGGCTTACCTGCTTGGCAGGTATTTTGGTTTCTCTGGCCACCGCTTCCCTCAGCTGGGCCACTGTTCCAGACAAAGGCACGGCCACTCCAATGCGCATGCAGTGGGAACACTTCCCCCGATAGACCACGGTGACATAGAGTGGGCTGCAAAGAGCCAGAGAGGCTGCTGAGGAGGCCCCTCCTACACCAGAAGGGGCCCCTCCCTCAGACCACCAGACGGGGGAGGGAGAGACCAGCTCTCTCCCCTCAGTCCCCCAGAGCTTCCCATCCCTTCTTTTCCTATCTGCCAGTTGGGGTGACCCAATCTGGGCCCTGCAGACCTACCGCGTGTGAGGCAGCGGGATTGGCAGAGAAATGCAGAGGAAAGGGTCGAAAGTGTTGCTCTGCTTCTGGCAATGAGGACAAGTCAAGGATGACCTGGAACAGGAAAGGCCCTTTTTCACCCCATGCAGTAAAGCCAGAGGGGGGAGGGGAGCCCCACAGGTGAGAAGACGGCATTCGTACTGATATTTCCACCCGGAAGCCCCCTTTGCTACCCAGGGGCATCCCATCCTGTCAGATACATGATAGGCAGAGCCAGGACAGCTGCCCTCGGCTTCCGGTGGTGGGAATTAGAGATGCTCTGGAAGCCAAGGCCACCTACGCTCTGTCTCAGGGCTCAAGTCCAGGGCGGGCAGGATGAACCAAGGACCGACCAGACTGGGTGGTGCAGCCCAGGGGCAGCCCTACTGGCTGGCTCTGAGGAGCTCCACCGATTCTCTTTCTTCGGGATGAAGGCAGGGGAGCAGAAAGCAGGGGGGTGGGGCTTACCTGTACTGAGCTTGGAAGAGTTCCTGAACAAAAGTGCTGTTGACTGGCAAGAGGCTTCCCTCAATCAGGGAATCTTCTTCCAACGGTGGCTAAAATGAAAGGGATTCAGGAAGGCCAGTCAGTCTGGGGCTCAGTAATTTGACCCCAAGGACAACCTGAAAGCCAAGACTCTCCGGAAGTCCACCAGAGTAGCACTGGAGAAATTAAAACACCCCAAGGTCTGCCTCCCAGGAAGCCCGTTTTTGCCTACAGGCCTTTTGTGATCCCAGCAGGACACCCAGCAAGGAACACAAACCAGGCAACTACCCAAGACAACCCAGTGAGTTCAACCCAGTGGTGCAATTCATCTTCTAGCCTCCCATCGTTCTCTCCACGGGGCTCCTTTGCAGCCAAGCCAGGAGCAAATGGCTCCAAAGCAGAGGGCCTCACCTTCACAGCCGCTCTCCCATCACTGTTCTTCACTAAATTGTGGAGATCTTCATGAACTCGGTCCAGAAGCCAGAGCAGGAACTCCTGTGCGTCGTGTTGTGAGCTCCCGCGGAACTGCAAGGCGTTCTTGGAAACGATGCTCTGTGGAGAAAGAGCCCAGAGTTTGAGAGAGCCCCCACCCTGCTTTCAGGACCCTTCCCATCTGACAGGCGAAGTTGGACCACCTCCAGATCACAGAAACCATCAGGCGGTATTCACTACAATCTCCTCTGCCCACCAGCCCAGTTCCTCTTCTTGAGTGGAAACAATGGAGGCCGACTGGGATGGGGGAGAACAGGCATGGATTTTGGGGAGGGCCCTGATCCACCCATATGGATCCCTAAATGTTCAAATGACACCCTCCCCCTCTGATGACCTTCAGGGTTGATGGAACAGCTCCCAATATCTAGGACATGGTCACCCTTGGAAACACCAGGAGGGAGTGACGATGGCCCAACTGTACAATCTATTCCCATCGATTTGTTTTATGGATTATTGTAAGTGACCAGAAGGCCTTGTGAAGTCAGGGACAAGGCAACAACAAATACCCCTTCCCCTGCAATTCACACAAGCCAACGGGCAGCCCTCCTGCAGAAACTGCCCCGCTGGACCCCAAATGCCTTGCAGGGAAGCCCCCAAGGACAGCAACAGGCAGATGTGCTCCAGGGTGGGAGAGTGACCGTAACCCTAACCCAAACCAGGGGTGAGTACAGACTCCTCCCCAGGGCTAAAAGAAGCAGCGCAAATCCAAGTTTCCCCTTGCAGATTTCAGAGCTTCCTCCTGCATCAGCCCGAGTGGCCGGACCGCTGGACAGCAACTCCAGCCAGCCAAGGAGGCCAGACTGGGAGGTCTTCATCAAAACCACTGCAATAGTCCCCTACAGAGGAGGCCTCTTTTAGTAGAAAGGTCTGGCACAACTGAGCCATTATGGAAAAGGAGGAGTTCCCACCTATAGCACCCACCCACCCCACCCCCTAGAAAGGGGCAAGGAACATGAAATCAACAGTTTAAGGGCTGGGGAGCGGGGGTTGGTGAAGTCAAAGGAGCTCAGGTGACTGGCTACTAAAATCTCACTTACGGCAGGGAGATCAACAGCTGCGGCAGGCTGGCAAAGCCGGGGCCCTCCAGGGACAGAACTACCTAGCAGGGGAAGAGGCAGAGAACGCAGGTCCTGTCCCTGTCCCTGACCCCCACCAGGTTGCTACCAATCTATCCCACAAAACATACCAGTAGGGGGACTCTCTGGAAGTTCACATTCTTCTACTGGGCTGCCTGCATAGGGCCGTGGTGGCGCAGTGGTTAGAATGCAGCATTGCAGGCAGAATCCCAGTGTTGGGATTCAAAACTTTTTAATACTGGTTCTGTGGGTGTGGCTTGGTGGGCATGGCATGACTTGGTGGGTGTGGCTTGGTGGGCAGGGCTTGGTGGGCAGGGCAGGGGAAGGATACTGCAAAATCCCCATTTCCTCCCGATCAGTTGGGATTTGGGAGGCAGAGAATAGATGGGGGCAGGGGCAGCCAGAGGTGGCATTTGCCGGTTCTCCAAAATACTCAAAATTTCTGCTATGGTTCTCCAGAACTGCTCAGAATCTGCTGGATACCATCTCTAAGGCAGACTCTTCCCACAGCCAAGAGTTTGATCCTGACCAGCTCAAGGTTGACTCAGGCTTCCACCCTTCCAAGGTCGATAAAATGAGGAATGGGATTGTTGGGGACAATGTGCTGATATTTGTAAACCACCCAGAGTGCTATAAAGCTCTATGGAACTTGCCAGGCTGAGCATGTTCCCAGGTTTAGCAAAGACCAGCTCACGGAGGAGGGGGGGGCAGAGCCTGGGGGTGGAGTCAAAAGGGGATGCAGTCTAGAGTCTCTAGGTAGCCACAAATGGAGCATCCCCTCCTGAATTCTCTTGCGCCAAGATAGTGCTAACCATTAGCTGAGTAGATTCTTGTACAAAGGCATGTTGAGTAATAAATCAGTTTAACTGAAGCTTTATGTGTGGTCCTGATCTTTTGAGCCTGTCAGCTCACCTGGGCCAATGGACAAAACAAGAGGAAATTCGCAAACATACCGAACCAATGGAGAGGTGGGGCAAGGCAGGGATGGCTTCGGAACCAGCTTGATGCCAATGCCAACTAAGCCCTTCCCTTCCCCTCAACAGGCACCCCCTGGGAACCGCATTCAGGGCAGAAATGTCCCCCCCCCCTCATTGTCTGTTTCATTACTATTATAACTTATTTATAATGCGTTTGCACTCAGAGAGAATGGCATAGTCATTAATTATGAATCTGTGGCGTGAATCCTTTCTAGCGCTATGAAGCATTTACAGCATTTCAGTCAGATGGGTGAATTTAAAAGACAAAAGCTGGGAAAGTTTCCTCTCTGCTCCTGCCTGGCCAGGAAAAGGTCCCTGCTCCACTGGGATGGCCAACATTTCCGGCCAGCTTCAAGATGGAAAATAAGGGGGCAGATCCAAGAGGAAGAAAATGATGAAATGCAGGACCAGCCACAGGAAAGGGAGCGAAAGGGAGGCGAAAGGGAGCGAAAGGGAAACTGAAACAAGAGGAAAATTTATATCCCTAAATTATTACATCTATTAACTGAAGTATGGGTAGTCCTCAACTTAAGGCAGTAATGCAACCTGCCCATTATGGTCATAAAACAGGACAGTCACATGATTTTATGATACTTTGGGAGCAGTCACCAATGATTCATTATGAACATGGTTTCGCCGAAAACCGCAAGGGCCTGTTTTTACAAAACCATTGTAAAATGTTGACTGCCAGATGCTGCAAACCGACAAAAATGTGGTTGTGTTGCCAAGCACCTGAGGCCCAGTCTGCCAACTGTCGGGATTTCAAATCCAGGTCATAAATTCCATTTATCCAGGTCGGTGGTAACTTCGAACAATCACTAAGTGACCAGTCGTAAGTTAAGGACTACCTGTAAAATCTTGTGAGGCTGCTTCCCTTGCTCTTATTTCCCCAATGCAAACTGATGCTGGGGTCCCTAAAGGGCCAGGGCCTTTAAGCCTGCCTGCCTGCCCCCAGGCCCAAAATCCCCCACTGCCATCCTCCCCTTTTCCATGCCTGCCAGTCCATCAGCTGTGGGGGCTCAGCTGAGTTAGGGGTGCTGGCGTGTACCTCATCCAAGCACCGTAATCAGCCGGCAAGAGAAGATGGATGTCAGGGCACTGAACTCCAGGCTCAGCTCAACCGTGGGAAGAGGGGGGGTGGCAGCTGCCTCCTCCCACGGACCACCACGGAGGGTCCCTTGACTGCTCACCCCTCTTTATCTGCTGTTGACCCACATTTCAGCTGTGAAAGTCACAGAGTAGAAACACACAAAACTCCCCAGGAAGCAAAGCTCGAATTGCAATTTAGGATGAAGTTTTCATCAGATAAAACAGCAAAGAAAGCCAAGACGGGGGCGGGGCAGGGAGGGAGGAGCCTGCAAACAGGTGGCTGAGGAGGAAGGTGGAAGATCTGCTTGGAGCCCAGGAAGAGCCGCACAACACACAAACTGCGCCTCCCATGACAGGCAGGCAAAGGGAATAAGCCAGGGGCATCTGGGGAGGCCCCCTGCTTTGCACCCTGCAGAGCAAGCAGAGAAGGGGGCTGGCATCCAACAGGAGGCCTTGGGGAGATGAGCTCCCCTGGGGGAACAGTCCCCATAGGCACCACTCTGAGGTGCACACAGCCCCCACTTCCCAAAGGAGGGGCCACAGACAGGACTCTTTTAGATTAAGCTCTCCTGGACGTTGCCTCTAAATCTGCAGGAAGGGCTGATCTGGAGCCTTTGAAAAACAGAATATAGGCTACCAGAGTTGGAAGGGGCTTTGGAGGTCTTCTAGTCCAACCCCTCCCTGCTCAGGCAGGAGACCCTGTACCATTTTCAAACAAATGGCTGTCCAGTCTCTTCTTAAAAGCCTCCAGTGATGGAGTCTGGTTAATTGATCTCCCTGTCAGGAACTTGTTCCTTGGTTCTAGGCTGGATCTAGAAGGACCTGGAGTCAGATTCTCAGCTCTGTCTCCGCGTTTAGACAGAGGCACACAAGTCGCGTGAAAACAATAGGAGCTGAGACCATTTGTGAGGCTGTTCTGGGTGAAAACAAAAGCCATCTGAAGGAGGGGAATCTTAGCCAGCTGGCAGGCAGAGCAAGAGAGGCCCGGCACAGCCTCCCAGCCAGGAGGAGCAGGGACCCCCTGACAGCCAAGGAGCAATGGAAGAAGGTGGCTCGTCTGCTCTGCGCTTGGGTGAACACGCTGAGTGCCGCCAAGTGAAGCCGTGCGCACGTGCACCCCGTGTGTGAGCTCAGCCCAGGAGCACATCCATGCAACGTGGAAGCTAGCGTGATCAGCACAAACGTGACAGGCAAACTGGCTGCTGGATCAAACTGTAGTGAAAGAGGAACCCCACAGCAGGTTTTTCACGCAAACCAAGAGGCAGATTTGCGAGGGGCTGAATGTCCCCTTTGACTGCCCAGAAATCAACGGAAGAGTGAAAGAGGGCAAGGGGCTTTTCTTTGCCCACTTTGGTGGGGAACCACCTGCTCATCTAACGGGAACTCTGCCCACCATCAAATGTCAGCCGGTGGCCATCTAAGGGACCACTCCCAGAGGTAATTGGGGAAGGGGACACGGGGGCTGCCCACCTTCATCTCCCCAACTTTTCACTACTGCCCTTCCCCCCAGGGAAATAGCATTTCCCCCTCTTGCTTCAACGGCTGCAGCAGGATGAGAAGACGGCACTGAGAGGCAGGAAAATGCAAGTGAGGAGAAGCCAAAAGGGGCATCTTGTACTTTCTGAGAACAGATGTCTGGTGCTTTAAACAAAGGTTCCCAAGTTCAAGCAAGATCTGCCAGTGTGACACCAGGCAACCCAGTGCAGGGCCCGGCCACCCCCTCCTTAAGCAGCCCCAGCAGGTGACACCAGCAGCAGGGAGACTCCTCTGGAGCCACCAAAGCTGCCACCAAAGGTCTTGAGGCCAACTTGGTATGGAAACATCTGGCGGGAGCCACCGCCTGGCATCAGCCATTTCCTCTGCCAGAGAGTCTCTCGTGCACAGCAACCTCCTTGCCAAAACACTCCGCACCTTGCCCATCGCCTCAGCCAGCGCAGCGCCCTCTGCTCAAGGCCCCCAGGAACTTCTGGAGGAACGGCTGGGCTGCTCACCCGGACCCCAAAAGCGGCTCTTTCCTGCTGCCAAGCCTCCCATGGAACCAGAGGGCCGCTGATGAGAAGTGAAGCAAAGTGGAGACGTGAAGCACTGCCCACCCCAAGCATCAGCAAGATGCCCCATCCCATCGTCCACTCCCCCATTCAGAAAAGCATTACTAGAGACTCTGGAGTGACCTCTCTCCCTTCTGGCCAATCTGCCTGAGGAAACAGTGGCAGAAGAGCGAGACACACGCAGCACCCAACACCAAGCTCACCATTGCCAACGAGGCCACCCAGCACCCCGGGCTCTTCTCATCACACACCCCTCCCTCCGTCACCATCCACACGTGGTAGGAAAGCTGGGAGAACAAAGCCACGACTGCGTGCAACCAGAAAGTCCACCGAAACTCTGAATCCTCCTCCAAGAGCTGCAAATGGATCCAGAGCTCCACTGCTTGCTTGGCTTTCAGTCTTTGGAAGAACAACAGGGCAACCTTCCTTCTGTTGCATCTGTCCCTGCTGGTCCAGTGGGACTGTCTCTCTGTCTCTGTCTGTCTCTCTGTCTCTCTGTGTGTGTCTCTCTCTCTGTGTGAGTGTGTGTCAAGCAGGGGGTTGATCAGAAGATTCAAAGTGGCCAGGAAAAGCTCCACCAGATGTGGCTGCAGTGGCATCAGAAACAGGCTCCTGAGGTGGGGCTCAGAAGGAGGCCCCCAAGCCACAGGAGACCGAAACTCAAGCTCTGGAGGTGTCCCGCAGCCTCACCCAACAGTTGCAGTCGGCTACCACAACGCTGATCTCCAACCTCCAAGGTCTACCGGCCAGACTTCAAAAGAAACTGGGTCTCGTCCGCCAGCAATAGCAATAGCAGTAGACTTATATACCGCTTCATAGGCCTTTCAGGCCCCTCTAAGCGGTTTTACAGAGAGTCAGCATATTGCCCCCAACAATCTGGGTCCTCATTTTACCCACCTCGGAAGGATGGAAGGCTGAGTCAACCCTGAGCCGGTGAGATTTGAACCGCTGACCTGCTGATCTAGCAGTAGCCTGTAGTGCTGCATTTAACCACTGCGCCACCTTGGCCAGAACGTCGACCAGCTCTGTAACGCCTTCATGACCGCTGGATCTTTCCAGGATCTGCTGGGATCCATCCTAGCTCAGAGTTGGGAAAAAGTCGCCAAGGCCCATCAGTTGACGGATGAGCTGATGGATAACGTGGTCCGAAATGCCCCTCTTACTTGGCTTGTAGGCCCCTTCACTGCCTTGGGCAAACCAGAGTGGGAAGAAATAGAAATGAAATAGCCTTTCAAGGATGTGGGGAGACCGTCCGTAGTACAGCTTCCCTGCCACAGACAGAGGAACTGGAGGGGAAAAGGTAAACCATTGGGAGTCACAGCTTCTGCAAGGCTTTGGGGGGTCCCCTAAGGCCCAGCACAGAAAGCCTAAGAAAGCTCCCCTGACCCAACCAAGTTGTGCTCCATCAGGGTGGCTATAATAGGGCAAGGATGAACACATGCTGCCAACATGGCAGCATGCTTCCTTTCTGAAAGAGAGGGCAGGAAGACACGTCTTTAAGTCAACTAGACCAGGGCTCTCCAACCTTGCCAACTTTAAGACTTGTGGACTTCAACACCCAGAGCTCCTGAGCCAGCGAAGCCGGTGGAGTTGAAGTCCACAAGTCTTAAAGTTGCCAAGGCTGGAGAGCCCTGACTAGACTGAGACTGTCTGGGCCTTCTCTCCCTGCGGTGGCTGGAGAAGAGGCAGTGCCCACCCTGCAGGATGCAAAAACGCTTTCTAGGGACACAGACTGAAAAAGCCCCCACCCTCGAGGAAGACGAGCGAGAGAAGGTCAGTCTGCGTCTGCTCCAGGCTCCTGAAGCCCTCCGCCCTGCCCTTCCACAGCAGCCTCCCT